AAATTTGAAGGAGGGATTAAAAAATATTCAGATAAACAAAAGATGAGAGAATTTGCCTCCCACAAACCACATCTACAGTGCATTTTGGAAGGTCTGCTACAGATGGAATTATTCCTAAGGCTAAATAGCTGTCACCAGGGGAAATAAAACCGCAACAAAGTAGAACAATTAATAGTAAGCAAATGCAAAATCAAATCAACTACCCTCAAAGTCAAGCAAAGGATACTTAAAGAGTACAGAATATGATACCTAACATATAAAGAATGGAGGAGGAAGGAAAAGGAAGAGAGAAAGAAGAAAAACAACCTTTAGGTTGTGTTTGTAAATGCATACTGAGTTAAATTACACTGTTAGATATTAAGAGAATTATTATTGAACCTTTGATAACCATGAACCTAAGGCCTGCAATGGCAGTAAGTACATACCTATCGATAATCACCCTAAATACAAATGGTCTGAATGCACCAATCAAAAGACACAGAGTCATTGAATGGATAAAAAAAACAAGACCCGTCTATATGCTGCCTACAAGAGACTCACTGCAAACCTAAAGACATACACAGACTGAAAGTAAAGGGATGGAAAAAGATATTTCATGCAACTAAAAGGGAGAAAAAAGCAGGAGTTGCAGTACTTATATCAGACAAAAAATACTTCAAAACAAAGAAAATAACAAGAGACAAAGAAGGACATTACATAATGATAAAGGGTTCAGTTCAATAAGAGGACATAACTATTATAAATATCTATTCCCCAACACAGGATCACCTACATATGTGAAACAAATACTAACAGAATTAAAGGAGGAAATAGAATGCAATGCATTCATTTTAGGAGACTTCAACACACCACTCACTCCCAAGGACAAATCAACCAGACAGAAAATAAGTAAAGAGACAGAGGCACTTAACAATGTATTAGAACAGACGCACCTAAAGGACATCTACAGAACACTCCATCCAAAAGCAACAGGATACACATACTTCCCAAGTGCACATGCAGCATTTTCAAGAATAGATTATATACTAGGACACAAAAAGACCCTCAGTAAATTAAGAAAGATTGAAATCGTACCAACCAGGTTCACAGATCACAAAGGTATGAAACTGGAAATAAATTACACAAAGAAAAGGAAAAATCTAAACAAACACATGGAGGCTTAATAACATGCTCCTAAATAATCAATGGCTCAATAACCAAATAAAAAAACAGAGATCAAGCAATATATGGAGAAAAATGATAACAATAATTCAACACCGCAAAAATCTGTAGGACATAGTGAAGGCTGTGCTAAGAGAGAACTATATTGCAACACAGGCCTACCTCAGGAATAAAGAACAATCCCAAATGAACAGTCTAAACTCACAATTAATGAAACTACGAAAGGAAGAACAAATGAGGCCCATGATCAGTAGAAGGAGGGACATAATAAAGATTAGAGCAGAAATAAATAAAATTGAGAAGAATAAAAAAATAAAAAGAATTAATGAAAGCAGGAGCTGGTTCTTCAAGAAAATAAACAAAATAGATAACCCCCTAGCCAGACTTATCAAGAAAAAAAGAGAGTCTAAAAATATAAACAGAATCAGAAATGAGAAAGTAAAAATCACTACAGACACCACAGAAATACAAAGAATTATGAGAGAATACTATGAAAAATTATATGCTAACAAACTGGATAACCTAGAAGAAATGGACAACTTTCTAGAAAAATAAAACTTTCCAAGGCTAACCCAGGCAGAAACAGAAAATCTGAATAGACCAACTAACAGCAAAGAAACTGAATTAGTAGTCAAAAAACTACCTAGAACAAATCTCTTGGACCAGATGGTTTCACTGCTGAATTTTATCAAACATTTAGTGAAGACCTCATACCCATCCTACTTAAAGTTTTCCAAACTTCAAAGAGGAGGAAATACTTCCAAACTCATTCTACAAGGCCAACATCACTGTAAGACCAAAACCAGGCAAAGACACCACAAAAAAAGAAAATTACAGACCAATATCCTTGATGAACATAGATGCAAAAATACTCAACAAAATACTAGCAAACTGAATTCAAAAATACATGAAAAAGATCATCCATCATGATCAAGTGGGATTCATCCCAGGGATGCAAGGATGGTGCAACATTCAAAAATCCATCATCATTATCTACCACATCAACAAAAAGAAGGACAGAAACCATATGATCATCTCCATAAATGCTGAAAAAGCATTTGAGAAAATTCAACATCCATTCATGATAAAAACTCTCCACAAAATGGGAATAGAGGGCAAATACCTCATCATAATGAAGGCCATATATGAAAAACCCACAGCCAACATCATACTGAACAGCGAGAAGCTGAAAGCTTTTCCTTTAAGATCGGAAACAAGACAAGGATGCCCACTCTCCCTGCTTTTATTCCACATAGAACTGGAGGTCCTAGCCACAACAATCAGACAACACAAAGAAATAAAAGGTATCCAGATTGACAGGGAAGAAGTTAAACTGTCTCTGTTTACAGATGACATCATATTGTATACAAAAAACCCTAAAGAATCCACTTCAAAACTATTAAATCTAATATCTGAACTCAGCAAAGCTGTGGGATACAAAATTAACACACAGAAATCTGTTGCATTCCTATACACTAATGATGAATTAGCAGAAAGAGGAATAAGGAAAACAATTCCATTCACAATTGCATCAAGAAGAATAAAATACCTAGGAATAAACCTAACCAAGGAAGTGAAAGACCTATACTCTGAAAACTGCAAGACACTCATGAGAGAAAATAAAGAAGATACCAATAAATGGAAACACATTCCATGCTCATGGATTGGAAGAATTAATATTGTCAAAATGGCCATTCTGCCTAAAGCAATCTACAGATTCAATGCAATTCCAATCGAAATACCAACAGCGTTCTTCAATGAACAAGAGCAAATAGTTCTAAAACTCATATAGAACCACAAAAGACCCTGCACAGCCAAGGAAATCCTGAGAAAGAAGAATAAAGCAGGGGGAATTATGCTCCCTGATTTCAAACTCTACTACAAAGCCACAATAATCAAGACAATTTGGTACTGGCACAAGAACAGACCCACAGACCAGTGGAACAGAATAGAGAGCCCAGATATAACCCAAGTATATATGATCAATTAATGTATGATAAAGGAGCCATGGGCATACGATGGGAAAATGGCAGTCTCTTCAAAAGCTAGTGTTGGCAAAACTGGACAGCTACATGTAAGACAATGAAACTGGAGTATTGTCTAACCCCATACACAACAGTAAATTCAATATGGTTCAAAGACCTGAATGTAAGTCATGAAACATTAAAACTCTTAGAAGAAAATATAGGCAAAAATCTCTTGAATATAAACATGAGCGACTTTTCCCTGAACACATGTCCTTGGGCAAGGGAAACAAAATAAAAAATGAACCAATGGGACTACATCATGCAAAAAGTTTCTGTACAGCAAAGGACACTTTCAGCAGAACAGAAAGGTATCCTACAGTATGGGAGAGTATATTTGTAAATGACATATCTGACAAGGGATTACCATCCAAAATAAATAAAGAACTCACACCCCTCAAAACCCAAAAAGCAAATAACCCTATTTAAAAATTTGTGGAGGATATGAACAGACAATTCTCCAAAGAAGAAATTCAGATGGCCAACAGGCACATGAAAAGATGCTCCACATTGCTGATTATCAGGGAAATGCAAATTAAAACCACAATGAGATATCACCTCATGCCAGTTAGGATGGCCAACATAAAAAACAAATGCTGGCGAGGATGCGGAGAAAGGGGAACCCTCCTACACTACTGGTGGGAATGTAAACTAGTTCAACCATTGTGGAAAGCACTATGGAAGTTCCTGAAAAAACTAAAAATGTTAATACCATTTGACTCAGGAATTCCACTCCTAGGAATTTACTCTAAGAATGTAGGAGCCCAGTTTTAAAAAGACTCCATATAAAAATATGCACCCCTATGTTTATCGCAGCACTATTTACAATAACCAAGAAATGGAAGCAACCTAAGTATCCATCAGTAGATGAATGAATAAAGAAGATGTGGTACATATACACAATGGAGTATTATCCAGCCATAAGAAGAAAAAAAATCCTACGATTTGCAACAATATGGATGGAGCTAGACGGTATTATGCTCAGTGAAATAAGCAAGGCAGAGAAAGACAAGTACCAAATGATTTCACTCATCTGTGTAGCATAAGAACAAAGCAAAAACTGAAGGAACAGAACAGCTGCAGACTCACAGGACCCAAGAATGGACTAACAGTTCCCAGAGGGAAAGGAACTGGGGGTGGAGGAAAGGAAGGGAGAAAGGGAATAAGGGGCATTACAATTTGCACACATAATGTAGCAAGGTGGCACAGGGAAGGCAGTATATCACAGAGAAGACAAGTAGTGACTCTATAGCATCTTACTACACTGATGGACAGTGACTATAATGGGGTATGTGGTGGGACTTGATAATGGGGGGAATCTAGTAATCACAGTATTGCTCATGTAATTGTACATAAATGATACCAAAAAAAAAAGCTTTTTGTTGTTAAGTTCAGGAGAACCACACTAACCCAAATTAAATAGGCTTGCATACTGTAAGATCGCTCAGAGTTAAGTGCTTCTCAGCTCTCCTGTATTCTGCAAACCTCCCTGTGTAACAGTATGATGTAGTTATTTTTCCTAAATCTGACCAGAGAAACTTTTAGAACACTATCTGCTGGGATCACACACATGACACATTTTGGGAAGATCAAATTGATAGCGCCAAACTATTTACTAAGCTCTTGTGACCAAGCCACTTCATCAGGAGCTCTGAATAGACAAGGGACTGTAAGAGAGAAACACTCACAAATTAATCATGATCATGAATGATTCTGGTAAAGAATCAGATGTTCAATAAGAAGATAGCATTACTCTTCAAGATCATAAAAGTTCATACAGAATAGTTCTTACTGAAATTAAAATCTGGTACTCACCGTGAACCTAAAGATTTATGTGGAGAATCAAAACAAAGAATGTTTACACATTGAAGAGATATCTTTCAGCTTTTGAAATGGCTCCAGCAAGCTGTCTGGGTGTTTAGCAGTTCATCTGCAACCTGGCACAGACCCAGAATTAAAAACAACAAGTGTTTAACATTAATCTCTAGTGTATTGTTTTAATACCCAGTTACAATGAAGTTGGAAAAAGTACACTTTAAAAACCAATTTCTGAGTACTAGACAATATTAAAATTATATCAAGCCTTTGCATAGGTAACATGATTAAGCAATACAAGATTTAGACTATAACCTTAAGAAGCAAAGGGTAATGTGACAAAAGACCACCAAAAAGATAGAATCCGTTCAGACATATTGACTAGATAAGGTAAGTAAGGGAATCCTACCATGCTTCATCCTCCTTACACGTTTTTCCTAATTGGTAACTTGTACCCTTTTCTCAGGATTAATTGTCTTTTAAAAATCCTTTAGTTTCACATCCTCAGGGCAGCCCCCCACCAAGCCCCCCAGCAACCTCCCCCACACACTTCATATTTTTTAATTTTCTCATTTCAAGTCCAAAAGAATCTGTGTACAAAAAAGGGAGATGCAATTTCAGCAACTAGAGAAGGGGTTGAAAACTGTCCAGCATCGCACGCGGGTTTTTGAGGGTTGCAGGAAGATAAGTGAGTCTGAGTGCAGAAAAAACTAAAATAATTCCCCCCTTGATAGCAGAAAGATCCCCACCTCCTGAAGTCTACCCAGTAAAAAGCTATTTCCGTAACAAAAGACCTGGCGGTTGATCCCCCACCTGTTCTCCTACCCAACTCACAGGAGTGTATCTAAGCTAGCCGGCTTAGATTCTTAGGAGGAGCTGGCTGGCTGCGTGGGCTAGGCGTGCAGGTAGCAGAGGCTTCTTCCAACAGCCAGAACTGTGGAATCCTGAGAAAGGAGGCTCGCTTCTTCCATTTGTGGGTGTCTGTGGGTGTCCCGGTTTCCCTGGGATGGTGTATGTGGTGATAAGCTTAGCTCTCAAGTCAGCAGAAGCCGGACTCACAGCTGCCCCCAGGTCTCTAGGTACCCAGACTGGTTGCTAAGGACTCTGTGCCTGTTGAGCTCCGGGCCGGAGGTTGCGCTTTTAGAGTCTCCTGATCCGGGCTTAGCCAATCAGGACTTGTAAATGCAATCCTACCTTCCCTTCCCTTCCTTTACAACCTTGTATTCAGTTTGGAACCAATAAATGCAGTGTTGTGTGAAAGGCCTTTTATCAGCTTTAAAATACAGTTATAAAGCACACAGGAAGGATTCATTTTAAATAGTGTACATACTTTGGATATTGGGCTAGTAGCGGCAGCAAGAAGTGGCTTGACAGTGCTTTAGTGTCCCCTCAATGTCTAAATGCCTCCTCCACAGCTTCTATTAACCCGGCAATATACATTAAGAACAGTAATAATAAAAACAGCATGCTTGCTATACAAAGCATACGTCTTTTAATCAAATTGCTGTTCATAATCTCCTTTTACATATTTACATAGAAAATATAAACCCCCTAAAGTCCTCCGCAATTAGGATAGAGGGTAAACAAAACATCCAGAGTGTTTTGTATGTACACAAAGGGGGCGAATTCAAAATAAAAAAGAACTCCTAATTCTTAAAGATAGTATCCAATAAAATGAACTAACTTAAATCCTTATAAAATTCCCATATCTACCAATGGGGGAGCAACTTCGAATATTCTATAAATACAAGTACTTTGCTATATGGAAGAGCAATTACGATTAAATCCAAAGTTAATGTGCAGGGATTGTCCTGGTGAAGTAAACTGCCTTTAAAAAATTAAGAACTTCAAAAGAAAATTTAACTGATGTAAACTTGAAATACATCAATCCTGAATTGTTTCTGTTCATAATAATTATGAAATAAGTCCTTAGGATTTTTTTTTACTACATTTTGATATTTAAAACGGAAATTATTAGGAAAAAACAGAGAATACAACCAAGAGAGGACTTTAATATACACTAAGGACTTTAAGTGATTAATGTGTCAGTGTAAGTTCATCAGTTGTGACACTCTGGTCAGATATGTTGATAATGGGGGAGGTTATGCATGTGTGAAAAACAGGAAGTATATAAAAAACTCTGTACTTTTCTCTTAATTTTGCTGTGAACATAAAACTGCTCTAAAACTAATAACAATACTTTTTCAAGTTAATTAATTTTTTTAAATAAAGTTTTTTAAAAACCAGAAATTACAGTACCTGCTCCCAGGCTTCTCTGAAACACATCCTTCCTAATAGATCAGTAAGTTGAGAATAAGAACAAAAGTAAAATTGAGAAACACTGTAAAATATGTTTGTTAGAAAGGAGACTTAGAGTGCCAACCCACATAGAATATATTCCAAAAAGAGAGAATGAAAATACAAATAAGGTTAAAGAATTAGTAGAGGGAAAATTTCTTTGATAAAAAAAATAAAGAGAGAGAGAGAGACAGCAAATCAAGAGTGCTTACTATACTCCAAATAAAATGAATATGGAAAGACTGCAAGAGTTAAAAATAGTTTGATGGGTTTTTTTAAGATATCTAGAAAAAAATGTTAAAAGCATTAAAAATACAAACTATTAAATAGGTTACTCACAAAGGAATAAAAAGTAGATTGGCTAAAAAATTATCCTCCATAACATAAAAAATTTTTTTTCTGCAGAGCACTTAGATACAAAGGTAGCTACCCATGAATTCTACAGGGAAAACAACTAAAGGACATATTTATATAAGGAAGAACCCACAAAATATTCCTTGACTCCCCCTACACTCTAAGATTAAACCACTCAAAGTAAACCATTCAAACGGCAGATCACTTAGACATTAATCAAAATTGTACAAATTGTGACTGCAAGATACTGATGTTGGACCCTGAAGGGTCCCCACCAGTAAGATGGCAAACTTCCGGCTTCTCTTCGGGGTCCTCAGTTTCCGCAGGCACCACCTGAAGCCCAATCACCTCTCGCCCCCCTCCCAATCCCAGCACCTAGCCAACAGCCACCAGCCCCGTAGAAGTGACACCTCAATCAATTCATGCCCCCTCCTATATAACCCAGCACCTTTCCCTAATAAAGCGGAACTCTCTGGTGAATTGCTGCTATGTGTCGCTCCTTTCCTTTCATTGGGGCCGAAACCCGGGAGATGGGATACCCCAACTGGGCCCCGTCTTCCCCCGACACCAGCAGCAGCTTGCCCTCGTCCTCTTTTTCCGGCGCTGGCTCATCACACTCACCACTCCTCTCTGGCCTTTAGGTAAGTTTTCCCCCCGGAGTGGGCCACTCTTCCCCGAGCTATCGCAGTGCCATTGACCGTGATCGTCCGGCAAGGCCCTGACGCTCGGGGATGAGGAGGGAACACTCCCCGCCTCAGGCCTTCACGGCTGCGGCGGACCCTCAGGCCCCTCCTCCAACAGCCATAAATCCCCGCCTCAAGCCTTTACGGCTGCGGGGAACGCTCAGGCCCCTCCTCCGACAGTCAAATGCATTCACCATCCCTTCCATCAGTGCTGAAAGTTTTTAAGCAAAATTTCCCCGGGGTGGGCCACTCTTCCCCGAGCTATCGCAGTGCCATTGACCGTGATCGTCCGGCAAGGCCCTGACGCTCGGGGATGAGGAGGGAACTCTCCCCGCCTCAGGCCTTCACGGCTGCGGCGGACCCTCAGGCCCCTCCCCAAACAGCCATAAATCCCCGCCTCAAGCCTTTACGGCTGCGGCGGACGCTCAGGCCCCTCCTCCGACAGTCATAAATCCCCGCCTCAGGCCTTCACGGCTGCGGCCGACTCTCAGGCACCCCCCTCCAACAGCCATAAACGAGGTGACTCCTTTGTGGATGAGAACGCTCCCTTTTCCCCCCCTCCTCCTTCTGCTCCGTCCGCCGAAAACGCCTAGCGCTAGGTACCTCGTGACTCCGGCACTCTGCCTTCTTAGGGAAGTCTGGGTGACGACCCACACTTCCCAAGAAATTCCGACTCGTATACGAGTTTCCGCAGACCACCAAGGATCATCGGGGACGCCCTTTGTCTCCTTGTGGTCTGCTTCCAGTCCGAGGATCTCCGTTCGTCTTCCCCTGTTTGTCTCCTTCTCTGTCCTTTAGCCATGGGAGCCTCCTCATCCCTCCCTGAAAGTTCACCTCTTGAATGCCTGCTTAAGCATCTGGCTACCCTCTCCCTGACGCCTGATATAAAACCAAAACTTCTCCGTAAATATTGCTCCCAAGATTGGCCGACATACCCCCTAGACAATAACAACCAATGGCCCGCAGGGGGAACTCTTGATCCTAACATCACTCGCAATCTCTTTAACTACTGCCAGCGCCTGAAAAAATGGAAGGAGATTCCCTATATCGAAGCTTTTCGCCTCCTAGCTCAAAATCCCAGCCTCTGCACCACCTGCTCCCCGCCCCAAGTTCTCCTAGCCTGCAAGCCGTCTCCCTCCCCTCCACACACTCCCAGTCCCTCTTCAATTACCTTTGACCCGGCCGACGAGCCTCCGCCATACAGACTTCCCCCTTCAGCCCCTCCCCCTCCTACAACCCCTCCACCCTCCGCCGCCACTGCCGCCTCTTTCCCCATGGCAGAAGCCTCCCGTCCTCTCCCTTCCCCTTCTTCTCCTACAACAGCCCCCCCCCCTTCCTCTACCGCCGCCACCGCTGCCGCTTTCCCCGCGGCAGAAGCTTCCCATCCTCTCCCTTCCCCTTCTCCTCCTACAACAGCCCCTCCCCCTTCCTCTACCGCCGCCACCGCTGCCGCTTTCCCCGCGGCAGAAGCTTCCCATCCTCTCCCTTCCCCTTCTTCTCCTACAACAGCCCCTCCCCCTTCCTCTATCGCCGCCGCCGCCTCCACCCCCGCAGAAGCCTCCCATCCTCTCCCTTCCCCCTCCTCCACCATCTCCTCCTGCACCTCACCACCTCCTCCTCTGTCCCCCTCACCTTCCCCCCTCCCGCAAATCAAGCCTGAGCCTTTCAGCCCCCCTCTAACTAAGTTCCAAGAGCCTCGTCCATCTTTGCCCCCTCAGATTCGGTCCCGAGAGCCTCCCAAAATTATCGCGGCTTTGCCCCCATTACCTGTTTCCCCTGCACAGACTGAGCCAGAACCCTTCAGTCCCCCTCAGACTCGGTCCCGAGGGCCTCCCAAAATTATCGCCCCGCTCCGGGAAGTAGCAGGATCCGAAGGCATCTTGCGTGTTCACGTCCCCTTCTCCTTAGGAGATTTAGCCCAACTAGAGAAACGCCTAGGTTCCTTTTCCACTGATCCCACGACCTACATCAGGGAGTTTCAATGGACCCTCCAGTCTTACAGCCTCACGCATCATGACATCTTCATGCTCCTGGCCAATACTCTCCTCCCTGAGGAGCGTAGACGAGCTTGGGACTTCGCCCAAATGCATGCTACCGAAACCCACAGGACTGACCCCACCTGTCCCCCTGGTCCCACTGCTGTCCCCGAACAAGACCCACACTGGGATTATAACACCGCTGTGGGTCTCCACTCTCGAGATATTTTTGCCTCCTGCTTAATAGCAGGTCTAAAAAAGGCAGCTCGTAAAGTAGTCAATTTTCAAAAGCTCCAAGACATAATTCAAAAGAGAGATGAAACCCCCTCCGAGTTCTTAGATAGACTCACTCAAGCCCTATTACAGTATACCAGCCTGGACCCAGAAACACCTGAAGGAAGACAGGTCCTTATGACATACTTCCTAGCTCAAAGCTACCCCGACATTAAAGCTAAACTCAAAAAGTTAGAACAGGGCCCCGCTACCCCACAGACTGAGATCCTAACAGTGGCCTTTAAAGTCTTCCATAACCGGGAGGAGGAGAAAGAACGCCGTAAACAAAAAGCTGATCAGGCCAATTTCCAGATGTTGGCCCAGCTGATAAAACCACAACCTGGGCGCCCCTCTACAGACAAGCCCCCCCCAGGAGCTTGTTTCAAGTGCGGAAAAGAGGGACATTGGTCAAGGGCGTGCCCCTCCCCCAGATCTCCTACCACCCCATGCCCCAGATGCCACAAAAAGGGCCACTGGGGGTCTGATTGC